ACATATAGAGTAAAAATCGTTTCCGCGCTACTTCTCTGCAACTACTGGTTGGAATTCAACGAAACTTTATGGGAATCTTCAATACCAAGAGTAGATGCGCATATCCTCAGCCTGTTCCGGTCCGACACTTTAACTCAGAGTTATGACCCTTGATCAGTTATGCAGTATGCATAAAGAGCAAAAATCGTTTCCGCGCTACTTCGCTGCAACTACTGGCTGGAATTCAACAAATTTTTGGGAACCTTCAATATCAAGAGTAGATGCGCATATCGTCGCCTTGTTTCGGTCAGACACTTTAACTCAGAGTTATGACCCTTGATCAGTTATGCAGTATGCATATAGAGTAAAAATCGTTTCCGCACTACTTCTGTGCAACTACTGGCTGGAATTCAACAAAACTTTATGGGAACCTTCAATCCAATACCAAGTGGAGATGCGCATATCGTCGCCTTGTTCCGGTCGGACACTTTAACTCAGAGTTATGGCCCTTGATTAGTTATACAGTATGCATATAGAGCAAAAATCATTTTTGCGCTACTTCTCTGCAACAACTGGCTGGAATTTAACAAAACTTTATGGGAACCTTCAATATTAAGAGGAGATTACCATATCGTGACCTTTTATGGGTAAGACACTTTAACTCAGAGTTATGGCTCTTGATTTGTTATGCAGTATACAACCAGAGAAATAATTGTTTCCGTGCTACTTCTCTCTAACTACTAGCTGGAATTGAAAGAAACTTTATGGGATACGAAGAGGAAGTATGCATAAAGTCGCCTTGTTCCGGCCAGACACTATAACTCAGATTTATGGCCCATGATTAGTTATGCAGTATGCATACATCTCTTTGGCATTTCCAGATATTACTATTTAACACAGAGTTATGGCTCTGTTATTGCCCTGAATATTTATCAAGTTCAAAGAATGTAACTGTTTATGCCATGATAAATATATAAATAAAGCCTTATGTCTTCAGTTGTTGTGTTAGTAATAACCAGTACTCGGCGGGGGATATAAATTCAACGAATTTGCTTGTTGCGTTAAGAATTCTCTTTACGGCCTATCACCTTGAGTTGTTGAGCTTCACTGTATTCCCTGAGGCTATCACCTTCTATACGGCCTATTACCATGGGTTGTGCGATATTCACTAAATAAGATGTGGCTATCACTTACGATTTAATTGCGATAAGAACCCTCTAAATGGTCTATCAACGTGGGTGGTGTGAGCTTTACTTGATAAGATGTGGCTATCACCGAAGGTTTTATTGCGTTTAGAACCCCTAAAAGGCCTATCACATGGGTTGTGTGAGTTAACTGTATTCCCTGAGGCTATCGCCGAGGGTTTTACTGCAATAAGAAATCTGTAAAAGGCCTGCCACTGCGGATAAGAAACCTCTAAAAGGCCTATCACCGTAAGTTGTGTAAATTTTACTGTATACCATGAAGTTCTCAACGTGTTTTTTTATTAGAACCTTCTAAAAGGCCTGTCACTGTGGGTTGTGTGAGGATTACTGCATTCTTTCAGGCTATTACCGATGGTTTTAATGCGTTAAGAACACGCTAAAAGGGATATCATCGTTGCTTGTGTGTGTTTTACCTTGTTCCACGAGGTTATCAGGGTGGATATTATTGCGATAACAACCCCCTCAAAGGCTTATTACTGTAGATGAGCTTTACTGAATTCCATGAGTCTATCACCGAGCGTTTTATTCCGTTAAGAACCAAATAAAAGGTCTATCACCATGGGTTGTCTGAGCTTTACTGTATTCCCTATCACCTTGGGTTTTATTGCGAAAAGAAACCTCAAAAAGGTCTATTACCGCGGGTTGTGTAAGATTTACTGCATTCTTCTAAGTTATAATCCGGCATTTTTTGCGTTAAGGATACCTGAAAAGGTCTTTCATCGTGGGTATTTTGAGATTTTGTACCCACTTAAGCTAGCACCAAGAGTTTTATTGCGAAAGGAAATGCTCTTCAGCGACGGTTGTGTTGGCTTTACTCTATTCCAGGAGGCAATCACCAAGCGTCAAATTGCTATAAGAATCATTAACGGACTATCACTGTGAGTTATTATAGTTTTACTGTATTCCATGAGGCTATCACTATTGGTTGTATTGCGATAATAAGCACCTAAAATGCCGATCACCATGGGTTTGAGTGTATTCCCTGAAGCTATTACCGCGGGTTTTATTGCGATGAGAACCCTCTTAAAGGCCTATAACCGTGTGTTGTGTGATCTTACTGCATTCAACGAAGCCATCACGGAGGGTTTTATTGCATTAAGAACGCCCTTAAAGGTTTGTCACATTAGGTTGTGTGAGATTTATTGTTTTCCCTCAGATTTTTTTGTGAGTTTACTCCATTCCATTAGCAATATATGAGCGTTTTATTGCGATAAAAAACCTAAAGGACCTATTACCGTGGGTTATGTGAGTTTTACTGTAATCCATGAGGCTATCAACGTGGATTGTATTGCGATAAAGACCCATTTTAAGGTCTATCACTGCGGGTTGTGTGAATATTACTCTACACCTTGATACTATCACCGTGGGTTTTATTGCAATAAGAACCCTCTAAAAGACGTGTCACCGTGGGTTGTGTGCGTAACATGAGGCTATATCGTGGGTTGTATGAGCTTAATTGCATTCCACGAGGCAATCAACGAGAGAGTTATTGCGTTAAGAACCCTCAAAAAGGCCTATCACCGTTTTTTTCTGGGGCTATCGTTTATTTTTGTGATTAGATTCCACTAAATGCCTATCACCTTGGAATGTGTGAGCTAAATTGCTTTCTACGAAGATATCATCGAAGGTTTATTGCGTTAAGAACCTCAAAACGGATTATCAACGTGGGTTGTGTGCGTTTAACTGTCTTCCATAAGACTATAACCGCGGGTTGTATTGCGTTAAGAAACCCCGTAAAGGCCTATCAGCTTGAATTGTGTGAATTTTACGAATTTTACTTTATACCCGGGGTTATCACCGTGGGTTTTATTGCAGTAAGAACCATCTAAAATAGGCCTGTCAACGTGGATTGTGAGAGCTTTACTAAATAAGATATTGCTTTCAAAGAGGTTTTTGTGTGTTAAATACCCCCTAAAAGATCACCGTGAAATGTGTTAGCTTTTCTGCATATGATTAGGCTAACAAAGACGGTTTCATTGCGTTAACCACCCTCAAACAACATCTCAGCATGGGTTATGTGACTTTTACTGTATTTCTTGAGACTATGTAATGAGAACCCTTGAACAGGCCTATCACCGTTGATTGTGTGAGCTTTACTCTATTCTTCGATGCCATCACCGAGGGCTTTATTGCAATATGAATAAGCTTAAAGGCCTACCACCGTGGGTTGTTTGATATTTTCTGTACTCCCTGATGCTATTACCGTGGTTTTTATTGGGATAAGAACACTCCGAAATTTTTACGGCATTCCATGAGGCTATCTCTGAGGGTTTTATTGCGTTAAGAACCCCCTAAAAGGCCTTTCTCAGTGGTTGGTGTGTGTTTTACTGTCTCCTAACACGCATATCACCGTCGGTTGTGCGAGTTTAATTGTATTGTATCAGGGAATCACCGAGGGTTTTGAATACGAACCGAGAGAAAAAGAAAACTTAAGAAAAAGGTATAGTCCGGAATATCGTGACTGCCTTTATATTAATCTATTACTGTACTTTCTAACCCTGCAATATCAGATCTAGAGCAAAATAAATCTATTACTGTACTTTTATTTTGCCATAGATCGGATATTGCGGGGTGACAATCGGCGTTACTGCGCCTTTTGACTTCCTATTCAAGTACAATCCACTCGAGTTAAGTTCAAGCTTTTCGTTAATTTGCTGTCTTTCACACAATAAGTAATTAAGAATAATTAGGGATAAAGGTCAACTGTGTAGGCATTCTTTAGGAGTTCCGGTTTTCTCTATTTTAGACAGGGTCAATCGGAAAAAATTCAAATAGAAGAACTTGTTCTTTTAACGTTCAACGTTAGGTTGAAGGTCATTCTTAAAAAGCTCGGTCAGCCACATTTATCTTCTTCAGTGCAAAAACGGATATGTTTCTAAACAATATATAGTCACTTTCATAAGAGTCTTGTTTAAATTCATTATATATGTGTTGAACTTATCAATACTCAGTTGCTTTAATTCAAACTTACTCAACATTTCATGTCTCCATACATTTCCGTATAAGGATGGTCAAGAGGTTTACCTATTCATATATGTTCTTAAAACTACATAGGATCTGTATCTGTAGCATATCATCCGGAAACATTTATCAAGTACTTAAACTAGAGGCTATTTTAATCCAATTATTGAATTTGACATGATGATCTGTCAGGGGCAGTTAACAATAGGCGGAAGACAGGAGTGTCCTCGAGAGTAATGAATAATCCTAGCAAAGAGAAAACGGTAACACCTGATTTAGTTTCGCCTGTAAATGTTTCATATGTATCAGGTCGGACAAACAGACACTTAGTGATCACAAATAACGTCTTAGTTATTTACTCAGGTTCATATTAGGATAAAACTGTAAAAAACATAGGCATTTCAGAATATACTTTCGAAATATTTCATTTAAGTTAAAATATATTATTAAATACGGCGTTTTCCATCAAGATGTGCACAATGGCCACGAAGATGTTTATCTAGTCTTATTTCTGACTTAAGCTTGCAGTCAGCCATATTTTGAACAAAATACAATTATAATAAAGAATGACCACAGGTTAACTCCTATTGAAATTCATAAATGTATGTCCAGCGGTTAGGGAGGGATAAAGTTAAAAGATTTCTAGCGACCATCTTGTGCAACAGACCTTAAGGATTTCTTAGTTATTTTAAGACATTTCCTCGACCATTTAAACTAGAAAGTCGGAACATGCATGACCTTCACAATGTTGGTGCAACAATTAAGCCAAAATATATAATCAAGAATGATTCAAGTTTCAAGCTTAAATCACAACAATCAAAAATAAGTATCAATTAAACAATTAATCGAATAAACTATTTTGTGATAAAAGTTTATTTCAAGAAAATTATTTTACCATATCGCTTTATCAGTACTATAAGAAATATTAAGTATGACCACTATCAGAATAAAGGTTCACACAATAATTTTGTCTCTCTAACAGAAAATGTCCAAGAACATTTGTTGGGAGTAATGTTAACTTCATATCAATCAAAGTTAATTTCTAGCGTACAGCAAAAAGCCACTGAATGTAGTGTATCTTCTGTCACCATTGTTTCCCTCCAGAGCACCTCTTGATGCAGCCTCAATCCAAACTGGCTTTCCCTTAGCCACATGTATTATTGCAGTATTTGTACCCTGAGCATCATGATATGTGTGCATACCTGTTGAAATAAAAATTTTAATAGATGTTTGATAAAATGAACATCTTATCATGCTTAGTATATATTTCTTAAATTTAAAATGAATGAATGAATATTCAAATACAACCAGATTTAAACACTTGTTATAGCTAAATACACAAAAAATATCTGTCGGATATATTGAAAGAAAGTTGAATCAAAATTGTATTAATAAAGAAGAAAAATAAAATTTATTTTACTTTTTTGCTCATTTTGTAGGATTTTTTTTATCTTTGTGTAGAAACTTGCAAATAAAATAAATAAGTTTTGACGCATCATCAAGATATGATCGTTCATTTTTCAAAAATATTTCTTGCTTAAGAAATCTTTATAAAGTTTTATTATTTGAATGTTACAATGTATTTATTTAAAATACAACATTTAGTGATATGCACTTTTTGGTGATACAAACCGGAATTGTAGATTTATTACCAGTTAATGAATTTATTAGAAATTAGAAGTTGGCAAAATACATTTTGTTAATTTTAAATGTACCTTCCGCAATAGCTCCATTGACAATATTACCGTTGTACATAAGATTAACACGGACCTCATTTGTATTTCTCTGTGCTATGGCGTATGTAAAAACATAAACCCCACTTGTTTGTGGTCTAGAACATAAATTAATGAAACACTTGTATTATGCTTTTAATTACATAAAATACCTCTCTATCATTCAAATTGTTTGAAATGTAGTCGTTCAAATAACTGTTAATGCAGAAAAAATAGAATTAATTACCATCCTTAGCCTCCCACTGAACTTCACGTTACATTTTTTGTGTAATTTTTATTTATTTTATATATTTATTTGCAATAATAGCTTAACAAACACACGTTTAATGATTCAATTGAGGGATGTAAATCTTTAATTTTAATAATTACTTGAATGTGTAACACCAAGTTAAAAAAAAAAACAGAAATAAAATACAAATCAAAGGAATGGTATGGTTCGTAGAACAGAATAATTATACTGGTCAAATCTTTATAAACAAACATAATGACTCATTTCTCATCTCTCCACTTCACGAAACAAAGAATTTTGAGTAGAAGAAGTAGATTACATATTTATAAAGATTCAATTAACAATGTTTATTAACCTGAACACTCCTGTAATTGCTTCATACCCGTCCCCATCATTAAACAGTACTCCGTCAAATTTCACATGCTGCCCTTTTCCAAGGAGGTCGTATCGTTTGGTTAGGTATACGGAAAACGCAATTTTATTGCTATCATACCATGCACCTAAACTGGTTTCTTGGTCTTCATCTTTTGAAGCTTCAAGTTCTGTAATAAAGTCAATCATATTATGTCATAATCAAAAAGTAATGTATGACCAACATAGTGGTACACATTATTGTTGTATTTACACTGAAAATACAAAATCAAATCGTTCAGATTTTACCACTTGATTCCCGATATCATTGTCCGTAATTATCATGTTTAAAAATAATGTAGATAAATAAACAAACTAAAACAGCATAATTTTCGTCCAAGGCATTTACAACGGATTCATTTGATTTGAATATAATTTCAGTTACGAAAAAAAGCAATTTGTGCATTTTTCTTAACTAAATAACTTTCACATCGGTTTCCCAGAAACCCAATTCTATTTAAATTGATAATTCGATGTTCTATTGGTCCATTTAAAAACAATAAGTACCTGATATATCAGTGGTATCCTCGGGAAGAGTTTCCAGATTTGCATCTTCGTCCATGCTTTTGCTTTCAATCGTTAACTCTTCTACCGATCGAGCCGAAGCTACTACCACCAGAAGCAAAATAAAAACTGGAGAATTCATGTTTCACCTGCAATGGAAACGTATTTTTTTCTACACTATATTTTGTTTGGGCTTGTAACTTTTTAACAGTCCTTTAGCAAGTAAATGTTTTCCTAAGTATATGCGGGGGTCAAATGTAACTTTAACTTCAAGTTTATCAAATTAAACTTTATTTAAATATTCAAGCTTAACATTGAATACAAGTTATCGGTTTTGTATGCGTTAAGTTTGATTTCCGTTCAATAAATACACTGTAAATGGCACAGTATAAAACAGAGATGATTAAAAGATTAAATTCTTTCAGTTTAATATTTTGTATGTCACAAGGTAAGAAAAATGTGCAACCTGACTAGGACTTGAACCTCGGAATTCTGTTATGTGACTACCGACTAAGCTATCCAGCAGTTTACACATCTTCGTTCACGAGAAAAAAGTTTTTACCCCGCTAAATAGAAATTCGCCCTTGAATATCTTGTGATCCTTCATTTACACCTAAATTATCCATGGGGTTTTCAACCGTATTCAATTTTGTTTTATTTAATTTATTTCATTTTATTTACACTAATACGTTTCTTATTAGATAATACATATCACTTTTATAATAATTTCGTTTTTATCAATCTTCTTTAAACAAACTGATTCAAATCAACAAAGTCCATGCGCTCGATTTATAGCAATAATTCATCAACTTTAAAGTAAAAAGCATGTAGACCTGCAGTTTACATACAAACTTCATCATCAGGGAACTAAGACAAAAGGTTTACGGTTTATAAATAAATGTACGTGAACTGTTGCACATTAAACGAACAAAAGGGGCATGTTGACTTTGTTGGCGTTGAGTTCAAGGGGTTTGGTAAAAAGACAAGTATTCGCTTCTTTATATATTCATGTTTTAGCTAAACAAATACCGTGTCATATTTTATGTGCCAATATGAATCAATATAACAAAATTAAACAAATGGCAAACTATGTACGAATGAAAATGACATAGTTGACATAGCAAATGTCTATTTACCTGTTAAAAGACAAGTACTTTGTTGACGTTGAGGTCTAGTGTTAAAAGACTAATCGTTACATAATATATTTTGATTAAGCTGAACAAAACCATGACTTGCGTCAAAAAATTATTCGTTGTACAGATAAGCGGGGAAATTGAAAATTACCAAACGAACATAAATAAAGAAATATTTAAAATTTGCAAACTATTATTATGTATTAGTGATGGCTAATTGGGCTTTCAGCGATAAACGCAAGAAGCAAAGTAAGAACTATGGAAAACAATAAAAGACATCATGGACACAAAATAATAACTGTACAAAAATCCCATACAAACACGGTAGTAACAAAAATATATATCACCAGGCATTAAAGGTAATGTTACTTTACCTGTAACATTTATATTTAAGAAAACGAATATTTGAAAACAAATCTGCACGAAGCTCAGAGGTCTCAACTTTGGAATTACTAGCATTAGTAAATAATTTCAAACAATCGTAAAATATCAGTGTTTTCTGCAGAAATATGCAATTCTAAAATTTAAAGGCACATTATGTCCCAGACATCAATATTCTTTTTAATTCTTTAGAAAGGTCAAATTATGTGTTTAATCATGTTTTAAAACTAAATTTAGAACATTTTAGATGTTAAATTAGAGAGCAGCACTGAACACACAGTCAGGTGTTGTAAAGGTAGCAAAATATAAACAAAATTGTATTTTGACTTCCACACAAAACACTAAATTACTATGATTAAACCAATTGCCAAAGAGAAAAGGAGCAAATTAAATTCTATTTAGCCATTGAATAAATATTTGAAAACTAACGAAATAAGCAAAAACATCTTTTTTTTCATTTTTAGAAAAGTTAAAAATGATAGTATATCTTAAATTTAATGGGCATTTAAGTCACTTAATCAAACGTGCAAAATTAATATAATTATTGTACTTACCAATATTCTGCTGAGGTTTCACTTCTTAAAATGTCGGAATAGGTTTTACCGTCTACTTAATAAACATGCAGTGTCTAGACGGATATAACAACTGAACTGATGCAGATTTAATCGAAAACATAATAATTAAGTGATCAGTGTTTCCTGTAAGAACGATAAACGGGATTGTCCAGTTTAAACAGTTCATAATTCGCAATTATAATTATTAAATGAAGAAAACATTTCTTTATTTTAATTTTAAACATTATTGTCAAAAGAGAGGATGATCCCTCGGAAGCATTAATAACAACAAGATTACATGAAAATTGCTGACTCGGTTTGATTGAGTCTGTACATGTGGGATAATGAAAAAGTGCAACATTCCTCACGCGCTCACGTGATCAAACTATACACCTGTTACTTTTTAGTAGTAACACAAAAACAATTCTCAAATATTATGCAACATATGCCAAATACAACAGTTTAAATGGCATCATGCCCGTCCGAGGGTATTGTCGGAGTGAAAATAAGTTTCTTTGCCATTCATTCCTTTCAATTTAATAAACGTTCAATAACTCACGTGGCCAAGGACATTTCTGAAAATATCCATCGAAATTAACCTGTAACGTTCAGTTTATTTGGGGTGGACACCTTTTTTTTATATTTTAGGCAAATTTATATTATATCATGAACATTTTCCATTATCACTGCTTTTTAACAATATATATCCAAAAATAATGTGTTTCCCATAGTTATATATTGAGCTCGATTTGACAATGGAAAATGAGCATATTATTACTTTAAAGAATGGAATGAACGTATAAATACACTATCATCATGGGTGTGAGATATGAGTCATTAGCCTTATATCGAGGGCTGAATGCAAAACTAATGCTAGAACCAGCTAAGATAAAAGAGTCCGACGGGTGTTTAAATAGAAATGACAAAAAAGACAGAAAAACCTTCATTTTCAATACAAGGATTCTTTGGTATAAGTGTTGAAAAGGACAAAATATCGAAATTTGGTTCCAAAGTTGACACGCAAGAAAAGTCTTAAAGTGACGAAGAAAATTCTGTTAAAGAGAATGAAACTTCCCATACTCGCAAACAATCGGAAACCTTAGATAATGAAGTTCATGATGAAGATACTTTCCGTGCAAGTATATAATCTGAAAGTGAACAAGACATTTCTGTCAAAGAAGAAGACACTTCAGACAGACTTAAAATAATATAGTTCACGATGAAGATACTTTCAAAGCTAGTAAAGGGTCTGAAAGTAAACACGAAAATTTTGTTAAAGAGGAAGAAACTTCAGACACTCGCAAACAGTTGGAAGATGAAGATAATTTAGTCCGGATTTAACTTAATACAGGATTGGAGCAGTACCTCTAGACGCTTGCAAAAATTATCATCAGAAAATAGAAAAATATCGTTTTTTTTTTCGCCGATATTTAATTTTTTCATTCATTATCGTACAGAAACCGGTGTGAAAATATGAATTAGACCTTTTAAAGTTCATTCCGGTGGGTATAAAGGCAAGATTTTAGCATTTTATCATTCAAACGCCGTGTCCGGTATATACCGGAATACGTACGGTATTGAGTGTGGTGCTACAATCCTTTTTTTAAGTCGCACTCATTTAGTCCATGATGAAGATACTATATATTTAATGATAAATTACAACGTTATGATTGTAGAAAATATACTACTCTTGTCACTTCTCAGCTATTTCTGTGCTACTGCTACTGTGGTGCTACTGCCACTATTGTGCTACTGCCAATTTCACGTTTTATAATTTAGCTATTGCTACTTTCATAATTTTTCTACTGCTACTGCTGTGCTACCGGTCTTCTGCTGCTACTGCCTACTTCCCATACATGGTAACATCATTATTACAAAAGAGAAAAAAAACGGATATCCTAAACAAAATCCAAAACGAAAAAATTAAAAATGTTACAGGATCGGTTCATGTACGGTAGCAGTAATTGCAAGCTATCGTCTACGCCCGTAGCACCGACTTTAGCAGTATTCAACATTTAATACAACAGACTGGAGAAAAACGGAATTCCTACTGTAAGGAACGCCCGAAACGACAAAATTGAAAATGCTGCAGGCTCAGTTTGATTGAGCAAGTTCATTCAAGTCTTGAATACTATGTAAACATTTTCTACCTTTTAACCACATACTACCAGTTCTGATTCTAAAATTACACACTCGCAAAATGAATAGTAACAGTATCAACGATTTTTTTTTAATCAATGATAAATGTGGAAAGAGTGTATGTGCTGTCATTCTTAATCATTGTTAAAAATATTATTTATAATGCTTTTACTCATATAGTGAACATGCATGGAGGGATTTAAATGTAACTCGGGACAATTATTCTCAATAGTAAGGTGGAGTGTCGCGCGAACATTCCAGGTGTCTGTGGCAAAGGTCTAGGTCACACTTAGGAGTTAAAAGTAAAAAATAAGTTAAAACATTCATTTGCGAGCATAACTTTGCGTTCATTGAACGCCGCCTTTTCTTGTTGATCTTGTTTATCATATTCTATAAACATGTGTGGATTTTTTTGTTTGGTGCCTTCTCAATCTGGGTGCCCTACATGGGTATGTTGCGGACAGCGTCCTGAGAACGTTGCCTTTGCCTTGTTGATCTTTATTCTTGTTTATTAATAAAAAAGAAAAATGTTCTCCATAATGAGCGCAAAATGTAGGTCAAGGTCACGAGATCAAAGATCAAATAAAATATTAAAATTTGCTTGTTGGCGCTGTGTCTTGCTTACGCTTTGAAGAATTATGCTTAGTGGTCAGAGGATGTTTGTTGAACCCCTAGGCGCTGAGCACGACATTGTTGTCAAAATGGCTGTTCATTATTTGTTTGTTTGGATTTTTTACGGCACGTCAACACATAACTGGCCATATCGTGCCGAATGCTATAATGTAAAACTTTGTAAATGACAATAGAAATGAGCCAATTAGATCCTAGAATACAAGTTTATCTCTTTCAAATAATCAATTATGTTT